AAAGCTGCAGGGCTGAAATTTCGGGAACTTAATCTACATGCATGTGCCGACCCCAATCCCCAAAATGGGCGCCATCACCCGCGTGATACCCGCGTACGAGCCCGCCAAAGTTTTTTCGGGGTAAGTTCATAACTCGGGGATCTGAGAAGCTAGAACGCTGATTTCTTTTTGTATTCTAGCGTGCTTTCGCCACTTAAGTTCCCGGGTCAATCTGGTTGCTACAATCGGCTTATGCTGGAAAAATTCCGTGACATTTCGTTTCCTTGAATAGCTATAGGTTGTGAAATGAGGTTTATCAACTTACCTGATTGTTTAGTTTCGTTTAGTTTAACATTATTTAATGGGCTTTCTTATGATATCATGAACAAGTGACTTTTTTTACCCGAAGTTTGAACAGTTAACCGGGTTTTTTTTGCCGAATTTAGTCACTTTAAGCCCAGTTTTTTTCTGCATCATGGCGCCAATTAGTTTTCTTGAAAATTTTACCCTCAGACACAGCTAATTTTTCATACAATTCTGCCAATAAGTCGTATTTTGCGATTTTTTGCGAAAGACTCATTTATTTGTGAACTTGTCAAATTATGCAAATTTTGCTTCTGCCAACTAATTATCAAAAGGACAAGTTCAAGGACCTCCCCCACCCTCCCCTCTCTCCCCCTTCCCCTAGTTCGCTGTATGCGAGAGTTAGAAGCACTTGTATGATAATAGGTGCTAAAAGCAACCATCCACGGCAAGACTGTCGAACGCTCGCTTTTTCAAGGTTAACTTAAAAGCTGACTGATTTTCAACCGATTTGAATGTAAAGTACCATATTGTAATTTTAATTTTAGATGATGTGTGTTTATATAGAAAGTAGGAGTTTGAAAGTAAGAGAATAAAAAGATATGTGAATAAGTTAAATCGGAATAAAAACCTGAATAGGAATGTTTCGGTTCATCAAATCGCATACATTCCTGTTCAGTGCTGCAACTGGACCTCCTCAGTGTGACGACTGCGGCAAAAATAACATGCAATGTGTCAAAAAGGAAAATTACCGTATATTTCAGGGCTTGATCGATACGGCTGTGAAAACCTCTCGTTCGGGCTATTTGCAGCGTTGTATTGTGAAACATCTGGAAGGTCTAGTGGCACAGTACGATTCTACCGTACGAGACCATGATGGAAGCGTTATTCAGGTATTTTTTGGAAAACTTTTGGCAATTTGGGTCCGGTATTCCTGGCGATCTTGCTGAAAATTGTTGTATTATGCTGGTTTACAGGGGTACTCTCCGTGACTTTGGGCGGTTTATTTAGTGACCTGTTGCAGTTTCGTTACGGCGAAGATGGTATGGATGTGTGTAAGAGCACATTTATGAATTCGGAACAATTCGATTTTCTTGCTGATAATGTA